TATATATATATATATATATATATATATATATATATACAAATACATGAATCAAGATAATGATATCTTAGTCTTCATCTTTTTCTAAGTATGTAGTTAAGACATAATTACATACGCATAAATACCTATATTTGAACAACTATAACTTCGTCTAGTTATAAGTATGTATCTATTCATAGATACGTCACAAAATTGATACGAAATAGATGTATTTATGTAAAATACATCACATATATACCGGATATAATAGTCCCCTATTAGAACCGGTCTGTTACTATGCACATATACACTAGATACATCAATGCATATTTGATACTGTATACGTAGATACATGAAAGTGTGAAACACACATACAGAGAGTAAAGGAGGGGTGAGGGAGGGAGAGAGGTGAAACACATACGCTAGATACAGTATATCTAGAGACAAATATAGTGTATCTAGAGGCAACTCGATCGAAAGATGAGTAATTATTGAAATGAAGCCTCCCTAAGTTCATATAGGCCCAATGATTACACACCTCTTGCCAACAATATATACTCAAGCCCAAATTTCTCAAAACCTCATCAAATTTCCAACTAAAAGAGTTTTGTCCCTCAAATTTGAGTGGCTACAAGCCAAAGACAACATTCTTGTCACCCCACCCTGTTTTTTGTGACAAATGTAGAATGATGTACAAACATGGAGATTCCATTAAAAACTTTACCTTATCGATACACATTATACATACACTTCCTTAATCAAACTACAACTATAAATTTTTTTTGGTGGATTCTTGATCATGCAATCTACTTCAATTACACCATGGAACACTTACTTCCATTACATTCCTAACAAATTTCCCTTCAAACATTCACTTCATTTCAAGAAAACACTTGTTACTTACACACACAGTTGTCACCAAGAACAAGAGAAGCAAACTAGACAGAAAGATGTATATTGGCAAGAAATGAACTATTCTGTTGAAAAAGAGAAACCCCATTACAGAAATGATGTAAAAGAGCAGGGGGTTGAAGTGATTGTTCATTCAGGCATTCGATCGAACAGTTGGTGGGCAAGGATTAAAGCTGCATTGGGGCAGAGGATTAATGTAGAGGGGGTTTCTTTTTCTGTTGGGATTTTTCGTAAAGACAAGCATTTGGCAATTCCACATGTGTTTGTGCAAGATATAAGGTATATTGATTGGGCTGAGCTTAAGAGAAGGGGATTCGAAGGCGTGGTTTTCGATAAGGACAATACAATTACAGTTCCTTATTCTTTGAACTTGTGGTCTCCTCTTGCTTCATCAATGGAACAGTGTAAAGCTTTGTTTGGCAACAACATTGCTGTTTTTAGCAACTCCGCGGGTAAATTTCATTAGGAATTCGTATTTGGTATCGTGTTTTTTCTTGTAACTTTAAAGTTTAAAGGTGTTTCTTTTTTTTTGTTTTTCTGCAGAACTGAGTGTTTGATGATTTGGGAATTTGTAGGACTAGCTGAATATGATCCTGATGGTAGAAAAGCTCGGATTCTTGAACGTGCAATCGGAATTAAAGTCATTAGGCATAGTAAGTTGTTCCTGTCTATGCCTATGCTATTTGCATCACTTGCATCCACTCTTGTGTGACGGTGTTTGATTAGGACATATTTAAGACGTTACATGTTATTTTACTTGCATTTGAAGTAAGCATTGAAGTATTGATTATAAAGTTAGTTTGATAGCGAAAGCATCACATCAAAGTTTAAAGTATGAGGAATTACATGAAGTTGAGTTCTTGAAAGATTTGAAAGTTGTGTAGGGTAATATTATTAGCTGAATTGGATCAAACAAGTGTGTAATCAGAGGCGAGTTTATGGGGTTCGAACTGTCATTTCACCTATAGCTTGTCGTCGTTATTGGATTTGCAGTATACTTAACAGATTTCCTCATGCAAATACAGGTCTAAGCAAAAAACTACCGAGTTTGCCCAAACCCATTGTGAATATTCTACCTCCGCCTCTATGTGTAATATAAACTTTGATGGGGACTATAACTTTAAAAATTACTTATTTACTATGGTAGCCTTTGTATCGTAATTCTCTTTTATCACTTAAACCAAACTCTATGTTGCTCAGACTCTTCACAAAATGGAACGGGGTGCATGTTGTATCCTCCAAAACTAGAGTTTTTTTAAGGATCCGACATCGGTGCGACAACATTTTTTGAAGATCCGAACAACATAGCATTGAGTTACTGCGACTTGTATATGCTGATTCTTTAACACTAAATATAGGGTTGAAGAAGCCAGCTGGAACAGCTGAAGAAATTGAAAGGCAATTCGGTTGCAAATCCTCGAGACTTATTATGGTAGAAGTGGTTCTTCTTTCCTTTATTTTTTTAAGGTTTCTCAATCCTTTTCTCATTTAGCGTCTTTTGCAGGTGGGTGATCGGCCTCTTACAGACATAGTTTATGGAAACAGAAATGGTTTTCTTACTATTTTGACAGCACCATTAAGTCTCTCAAAGGAACCATTTATTGTGAAGCAGGTAAGGCTTCTCAAACCTGTCTTCTCGGATGAACCTAATAAAACTTTTTGTTTATTCTAATGAATTAATATTGATTACATTACTCTTTTGAGATCATGTGATTTATAAAATTTCAATTTACTAAGGGGTATAAAAAACGGAAAATAGAGTATCGAACTGCTTTGACTATTTGTGTTATAAGTTCTCTTGGACGACTACCAAACGTAAGCTTTTTCTCTAACTCCTATGTTTGTACTGATTTTTGGACCTTCTCTTCTTTTGATTAATGATTTCCCGACCTTATTAAGTTGCAGATATGCTATCTGCATTGTCAAATTTTCTTTAGTATGGCAATAACTTTAGCTTGTTTTCACATGGAACAAGCAACTTGAAACTTTTAAGCTGATTCTCTACCTATGAGTGCCGATAAGGCTTCTTAAAGTTCTTTTAAGATTTCGACCATTTCTCAATCTCTGTGTAACATCCTTGTGCAAAGCCCATGCTAATTCTTCTCTGTATAGTTTCAATTTTATTGGTTATCCCCGAAGGGGCTTCTTAGCCATGTTCTCTTTTAGTCCTCTGACCAAGACAGACATCGATAAGATTCATTACTAGTTCCTGTTTAATAGTCTACTGATGGTTTTTCTTTACGTCATATAAATCCTTGGTATTGACTGTAGAGAGAATGTCCCATTCTCTTATACTTGAAATCTCAGCTGAATTACAAATTCGTCATCAGAGGCCATTTTTTGATGCCTAAAACTGTTTTATATCACCCCTTTGCATCAAACTACCTGTCTTCAATAGAATTGGCATGTATACTGAATAGGGGAAAAGGTCTTTCGAAAACAGTCTCTCCACCTTCTCGAAGGTAAAGAGGGTAAGGTGTACACTCTACCTCCCGAAACCGCACTTGTGGGGACTACACTGGGTTCATGGGCGGAGCTACAGCATGGTAAGAGTGGTCAGATGAACACCTTTCGTCGGAAAATTATGTCGGGCATATAGGCAAAATACTGCTGAATGAAGGAAAAACTAACAAGGCATCTTGGCACAAAGTCAAAATATTAAGTTTATGAATTCTGAATTTCAGAATAACGACTCCAAGTGCTAATAATTGGGTTCTAAATTTAATTTCGGTACATAGTTAACTAATTTATTAATACAAGTACATGGTTTAAGCAAAAGCTACTGAGTTCGACCAAACTAGTATCTGGACTTCTGCCTCCGCCTCACTTCCTTTCGTTTTGGTTCTTGCAGGTTCGGAAACTCGAAATGGCCCTTGTGAACAGATGGTCTAGTAAAGGGATAAAACCAATTAGTCACTGGCTTCTTCCTGATTGCCAGTATTGTATAAAGGATGAACTACTATAGTCTTCAGGATTATTTTTTTTTGGTGAAGATGGAAAAGTATATGTTAAACAGCCATCTTTGTTACTACCACTAGCTATTTATTATACAGTAAAAGTTCTTGTGTTGTTTTACCAAGGCATATTAGGAGATATGGTATAAGCCGAATTCACGTTACATCAAAAATGATCATTAGCAACAAATTAAGAGCTAAATATATATACTTTTAGCGGCAATTAGCATTTTATATATTTCTAAAGCTTTTAGCGATATTGGTTCTAATGGTACTTAACTAATACCAATAAAGACTTTAACACTCTTTATTAATGTCAATATTTATTGCCGCTAAAAGTAGTTTTGGTTCTGACTCTGTTAATGAGTTAGTGGGTTGAGAATCATTCGGGATGAGACAAAGAGATTGTTTTCGAAAGACCCTTAGCAACAAAATAGTAAGCAACAAGAAATCGGAGCAAAATTTGTCAGAAGGGACTAGGGAGCAAGGACAACAATAAAATAAATGACAAAACACCAACCACACTAAGCAAGACAACCTTACACTACTTACTAATTTGGTAAATACGTGTTTTCCACTCTTCCTATTTAAGATCACGTCTCACTTCTCCCCTGATGCACTTCATCGACCTACCTCTACCTCTCCTCATATCCTCTAGAACCAACATCTCGCACATCTCTTGCTACATATCTTTTCTTAACATAGCCAAACCATCTCAATCGTACTTCTTTTCTAAGGTCATCTCAACTTATAACCTAAGTCATTGAAATATTAAAATTTTCACCAAAATGGGTGGCACAAATAACAAATTGACATATGTTGAAAGAAGAAAGGTTAGGCTTTCCACAATAATGATGGGAGGGTCAATATAAATCATTAATACAAACCTACCTCTTCTTGTTTTTTTTTAATAAATAATTATGCCAATAGAATATGGGACCTCCTTATATTAATTATGGTCTCTCTCTCTTCTTCTTTTTTTTTTAAATTATTTACAGTAACAGAATTTTTTTGTGTCACCATTTAAATTTTACTCATATTAATAATATCCCCTCCGTATCATATTAAATAGATTTTAATTTGAACAATGTACCTCAATAAATATATATATATATATATATATACTCCCCCTTGGATGTCCATAGATAATGTGCCTCGTTAAAACCTTACTAGGAAAAACCCTGTGGGAAAAAATTCTAGTAAAGGAAAAAGAGTACACATATCTTTTGATACGCACCATTTGTTGCCTCATTAAAAACCTTGCTAGGAAAATCCAGTGGGAAAAAACCTCGATCAAGGGAAAAAGAGTGCAACGCGTATTGTACTCCCCCTGATTAAAACATCACTTGATTTCTTGTGATGATGTCTCCAATCTTTGTACATTGTGGTTGGTATATTCTTTTTTTAAAGAAAAACCACACATTTCTTGAATATGGTGTGTCATTTATCTCAACCAGACGCGCTTTTGACTTGCTTCATAAAGGACTTTTATTTCTGCAGAGCAACATTTGCTTCATTGATCCCCAGGATATTATTGTGCCTCCACATGCAAACACATAGCGTGATTGAGATAGAACTTTATGCGGATCAGATAAATATTCTGCATCTGCGTAATCAATCAATTTTGTCTTGGATTCCCCGGGATAGAATAAACCCATAACTATGGTCCTTCGAGGATATTCAATCATGTGCTCAACACCATTTCAATGTCCTTTATCGGGGAGAAACTGAATCTTGCCAGTAAATTTACTGCAAAATAAATATCTAGTCAAATATTGTTAGTAAGATGCACTAGTGCCCTGATTGCACCAAGATAGAGTTTCATCACCAAGAAACTCTTATCCTTCTTTTGAGATCAAACTGAATCATCATTTATGTCAAGTGATCTCATAATTATTGGGGTACTCAATGAATGCGATATATCCACATAAAATTGCATCAAAATTTTTCAGTGTATGTGCACTGTTGTCTGTTAGACAAATATTTTATTTGTCAAATTAACAATCTGTAGGTCAAGACAAAATTTTGTCTTACCAAGACCTTTTCATAAAAATACAAGGACAATTAGGGTCATTCTTTTGTACCCTTTTTCTTCCTTGACTATTTCAATCCATATAAGGATTCTTGAAGCTTTATTGGAAAAGTTTCTTTCAAACCTTTATATGCTTCAGACACCTGGATTGTTTCAAGGATTTTCATATAACCTTCATTACAATTTTTCATTACATGCATTCAAGTTTTTCATATGTTGCCAGATCAAAACAAACCTCATTGCATCCACCAAAGGAGAAAAACATCTCCAATAATGTCAGGATTTTTGCGATAAACCTTTATGCCCCAAGGCACAAACCGTATTTGATATCTTACGGTTATACTATCGCATAATAACTTATTTGTACCCCACTGACATTATACCTTAATTTATGGACTACCAGTCCAAAATGTCACTTTTCTAAGTGAAACAAAATATACTTGAATTGTGCATTTTACTTGGCCAACCATTTATCTGTCCACACTATATGACAGATTTGAATTCAAGATCATCGTCACAATTTATATCATTGACGCTACCTCATATCAAAGATACCGTCGACGGTTATTTGATATCGATTCCAACAAGACATAACTTATCGAGATCTCTTCATTTTTCATTATTTCAGGTACCTGAACCTTTTTCAAGATTTTATGAAGTGTTATGTCAATGTGCTCTTTTATAGCACTTGCCTCATTATCATGACCATATTGATCATTTGCTCCTTCCTTCTTTAAGGAATTTTATATTTGGAATCAATTGGTCTATTACGCTTTCGGCGTATCATAGACTCTGTCCTTCAAGGACTTCACATTGAAGCATTCGCAGCTGAATTATATCATAGGGTCAGTGCATTCCTCTGGCAACTGATTTGCAACATTATGCAACTGAATTATCCCTTGAACTTTAAGTTCACATATTTATTTAAATTGCCTTCACATTTTGAAGGACTATTTGAAGAACTTATAGTGTTCTTCCTTTTATCATTACCACAATGATGACTATTATAATTATGTCCCTCCACGCCCTTATTCATATCATTAATCATTTGTCATCTTTCAGACTAACATTCACTGCTACCACATTCATATGATTGAATGGAGCAAGTTAACAGGCGGATTTCAGAGTTATTACATGTTGCTACCACATTCTTTTCAAGGAATGAAGCAAATTCAATAGAACGAATTTCAAGACTTTTCATCAAAGCCTAGTCATCATTATATCATCATTATGGTGCATTGACTCAAACTCAATGTCTTATCCATATAAGGCGTTTTACGCCATAATTCTATGGGACTTGAACCCAATCACGGTGCATCAAATCTCAAATTGATGTCTTACCCTTTTGGTGCGATAGAACTTGAATCTATCGTCTTATCCTCAAATATTTTTCATTATGGTGCATCCGGACTTTAAACATGATGTCTTACCCTTTTGGTGCGATGAAACTTGAATTCATCGTCTTACCCTTAACCAACGGTATAATAGACCAAAGTACAACATGACTCACCCTTTGAGTCTTCCAAAACAATCAAAATAATATTTAAACTCATGCTATTAAAATTTTACACCTTCTTCTATTTAAGAAATTTTGTATAGCCTGTCATATTCAACCAATAGTAGTATATGTCTTCGGTTCCTGATAATTGTTAGTGACTGAACACTATTTTATTCTAAATCATAAAATATTTTAGAAAATACATACCTGATTTTATGCATATAATACTTTGATCTTCATAACGAGATCAACCAAAACATGAGTTAAAGAAAAAGTAAAACTCAATCTTAATTGGCTAGAGACTCGTGCTGATAACGTGTTATAAAATCAAACTCATAAGAATATAATCATAAAGAGAAGAAGACAAGAGAGATAGATAGAAGAAGGGAAATTTTCTTCTTATTCAAGTGTATTCAAGTCTCATATGTATATATTACAATAGTGAATGAACAACCCTATTTATAGAGTGAGAAATCACTCCAAAGATTACCATATTAAGTATCATAATAAATAGTTACATTCTTATCCAAAAAGGTTCATGTCACCTAGTGAATATGAATGATTGTTCATGTACCAACCTTATGGACTATCCACTTAATTTAATGTATTTATAACAATTTTGATAAATCTATACAGCTTAATTTTCCCAATAAAAAAAGC